CAGCCCAGAGTTCCAGAGCTGGGGTAAGAATTCCCTATGAGTCATAAGAACTACAGACTATAAAAACCACTGTGAATCGGGGCTGAGTGACACACAGGCTGCTGGAGACCCAGCTTCTCCTTTTAAAAGGCTGGCACCATGAACTGAATTTACAAACTCCCACTTCCTCTGAGCTCCAGTGCTAGGCGAGGCTCTGGGGGACCCAGACACATATGGGGAGAAACTGGACTGTCTGGCATCAGGGCAGGAACTTGGGGGAAGCTTTCTTCCAGATGGAGGTGCTCACAGTGGTCATTGTTCCCATGCTGGGACCTCCCTGGTGCAGGGCTAACTGACAGCCATTTCTGTTTGCTCCACCCTGGTGATTACCTGAGACCCTATCCCACCCAATTTACAACCCCACCCAAGCTGTGTGCAGAAGCTTTTGCATATGAATGGCCTGTCCTTTCTCAGCCTAAAACCTGTCAGACAAGCTGCAGCTGGGTTAGGGAGCCCCAAACCTATCAATAAAAGGCCCAAGGCTGGCACCAGCACCAGCATCAGCCCCAGCACCAGCCTACCTTGCTTCACAGCTGGGCCTTGCATGGACACTTCCAAACCCAAGACAAAAAGGAGGAATCTGCAGATCTCTTTGTAGCTCCTGCTGGGTGGCCTCAGGCAGTGGCTGACTTTGCACCTCCATGGAGACCCAAGAGCCAGTGTACCCAGTGGTCAGTGTGAGACCATACCAGATTACAACTCTTCACATCCATAAGTGACAAACTCAAGGGGCAGACTCAGTGAGCATCAAAGCCCCACTGAAGCAAGTCCTGCTCCATAAGGGTGTCTCCTGCACAGCAGCTCTTCCACTGCAGTTGTAACTGGTCTCCATAGCCAATAGGCCTGGAGGTCAATTCCTCCAGTGACAGCAACAGCAATCAAAGCTCAACTACAGCAAGACTGTGCTCACAGCCCACAAAGGGGTGCACTAAGAGTGTCTACCTCAGGTGACTGGGGATGCTGAGCCATTGGGCCATATTGGACACCTACTACACAGGGCCACTCTATCAACTCAAGGAGACTTAGCAGCTCTACCCAATGCATTGAAACAAACATAGGGAAGCAGCCAAAATGTGGAGACAAGGAAACATGTCACAAATGAAAGAAATGGAAGAAAGAAAATTACTGGATATAGAGTTCAAAACCACCATTATAAGGTTACTCAAGAATCTTCTAGAAACCTCCAAGGAACTTAATGAGACCTTCAAGGATCTTCGTGAGAATGTCAAAAAAAATGGAAAAGAACCAGTCAGAAATTAAGCATACACTGACTGAAATAAAGAATAATATACAGAGAGCCAATAGCAGATTGGAGCATCCCAAGAATCAAGTCACAGATTTGAAATACGAGGAAGCAAAAAACACCCATCCTGAAAAGAAAAAAGAATCCAAAAATAAGAAGATAGTGTAAGGAGCCTCTGGGAGAACCTCAAATGTACCAACATCTGAATTATGGGATGTAAGCCAGAAGGGAGTGGCAAGAAAAATTCAAAGTGATGAATACTAAGGACCTACAACCAAGATAACTCTACCCAGCAAAGCTATCATTTAGAATTGAAGGTCAGATAAAGAGCTTCATAGTCAAGAAAAAGCTAAAGAAGTTCATCGCCACCAGTATTATATGAAATGCTGAAAGGTATTCTTTAAGAAGAGGAAGAAGATAAAGGTAAAGATAAAAAATTCTGAACAACAAAGTGACAAAAACATATCCATCAACAAGTGAATCTAAAAATAAAATGAATAAAAAATCTGATGAACAGAGTAAACTGGTAAATGGAATAGAATCAGGGGCATGGAAATGGAAAGACCGACGATTCTCAAAGGGAAGAGGGTGTGGGGCGGTGCAGGACGAGATTGGACAAAGATCTTACATGCATGTATGCAGTACCTATGGACACAGACAATAGGGTGGCGATGACCTGGGGTGGGGTGGGAACCGGGTGGAGGGGAGCTATGGGGGGAAAAAAGAGAGACGTCCAATCTCAACAATAATGATAAAAAGAAGATAATTTTTTAAAAAGTTAGGCAGGAAGTATTTTTCATTGCACTCCACCATGAAAAAGAAGGAATAAAGTGTTCTGTATCAACTGTAGCTATCAAGTTATTGAACATAGAAAATGTTTATGGAAACTGTGGGCTTTGATGGTTCAAGTTTGTAAAAGGAGACATGAGAGGGGCACAAAGGCCATCAGAGCTTTCACAGGATGGCCAAGAGCTCCAGCCCTAAACAGTCAGAGGCCACTTTTGCACATGCTCAGTGAGAGGGAAGAACACTCCAAAGCTTTGCATTGTAGTATAGGAGCCCAAAGCTGACAATGCTCAGCGAGAAGAACATGAGGGCTTTGAACTGGAGGGTAGGAGGCCAAAATGGACAGGAGACAGATGAAAGCTGAGGGAACTGATCGACCTACAAAACACTCAACACAAAGATTCCAAAGATCATTGTTTTCTTCCTTGATGTCTGCAGATGACACCTCTAGCTAAAGAAGGGAGTTTTAATTGGCAAGCATGCATGTCCATTTTGTAAGAGATAGGAGAATATAAGGAAAAGTACTTAAAATCCCTCAAAATTTCCTCAAATCTCATTCAGTTCATAAATTTAGCCAGTGGAAGCAAGAAAGGGGACATCTGCACACTCCACCTATATACGTGCACCTGTGCACTTTGAATCCGAAGCAATGTGCTAAAACTAGCCAGAAAAAAATAAACAAGTGAAAATAATTCTTAGGCAAAATGTACACTTATGAAACACAGACATTAAAGGAAATATATTAGAGTATATAACCTGAGTTCTATCATTATTGAATGCCATCCAAAAATAATAATTTTCTCTATTCTAGAGAGTTTTCCAATAGCCAGTTCATTAATTTTCCTCATATGTAATAACCAAACGTAATTCTGTTTGGTTATTACAGAATTAGACTGGTCTAGAACTCACTAAACAGTAGAACTTACCACGGATATAGAAGTCCATGAAATAATGTATATATACATTATGCCCTTTCAGAATTTTGGTCAAAAAATATCCAGGAAATATGTTTCAGGTTTAGCTTCATCAGTTTTATACATGACCTAGGTCATTTCTCCTATGTGACTGCTCCAATGCCAGTGGGCCCCTTAGTCATTTTAAGAGTGCTTTCACCTGCATTATCCCAACAGATCCTCGTGATAGTCCTTGAGGCAGGTGGGAGAAGCAGTACTGTCCCTGCTTAACAGATGAGGAACAAAAATGCATCGAAGTAAACAAGTCAGAGGTAATGAAGACAGAACAGAAGAGCTAAAAGCGACTGACTTTTAAGTTTCAATCTCACAACAAATGGAATATTCCCTTTACGGTTACCAATCATAGTATTCTGGCAACATTTCTTTTTTATTTTGGCAATATCCTTTAGTCTATCTGCTATTAGCTATTTCTCACCAATCTTTGTCATTAGTTCATATCCTGGGTTAAGGTTCCTTCTTCCAGAACATTTCCCCTTAGGAATCAGAGAAACATGAGCTGGGTTTCTATCTATTGGTCCAAAGAGAGGGGACCTCTAATACTTGGTAACTCACCTTTTTTTCTTTATTAACAAACACTTCACCCTAAATAAGGCACACTTGGCTTGCTTTTACTGAACAATCAATCCACCTTTAGAGTTAGAACTTATGAGGCACAGCCTCCCATTCTGTTTCAAAAACTCTATAGTCCTCCTCGGCTTTTCCCTCTTTCTCAGTCCTCCCTGAAGTGATTTCTTGTACATAAATGAAATGGCATATTGTATGAAATAATTATAAGATCTTTTTTAATTCCTTTGTTCGTGTTAATAAGCTCGTATTTCTGAGGAAAGCTAAAATGAGTTCTGACAATGATAAGTAGAAGGTGGTAACTGAGCTAGCATCAATGCATTCATTTTAAACCACCAATGAAATGGAGCATTATTTCATTGCAAAGGTCTGAATTCCCCAAATACACACATTTGTTCTGAGAAGGTAACTGCAGCTCTCCACATTAACAGTGACATCTTGGTTGTTTTTGGCATGAGTGGCTTGAATGACTGCTATACCATTTCATTAAGCCCAGCTGAAGAAAAGATTGATGAGGTCACAGCAGAGGAGTGAAGTCACAAATTAATCTGACTTCACAGAACAAAAGAAATTTAACTGATGAAAAGATGTCCCCAGAGTAGAAGTCAATATCCTTTTGCCATCCACATCCTTTCAGTGGGGGAAAAAGTGAAGGCTAGACTCTTAGCATGCCCACAGTAACATGGGATTAACAGCATTTTAAAGTCTCATGTGAATGATACAATGACTAGCTGACCATTCAAATCCTAAAAAGGTCACATTAGAGTTCCTATCAGTGCATCAGAGACGAAGCAGTAGAGTGTGAAACTCGAATTCCACTATGAGCTAAGAGAATGATTCAAGTCAGAAGTGATCCATGGCTGCTGAGAAACAAAATCCAAGATTCCTAATATTATCAGTAACATGGAGCCGCACAAGATAATTGTAGGTGGCAAATAAAAAGTTACATTTTGCTTTTAGTTTTTTTAATGAGCCAAGAAAAGCAGTTGAATTAATGAAAATATTAGTTATTAGCTATAAATTTTGGAAATGGATATGATTTTTAAGAGTTTAGAAGGCTAGCTGACCATAAATATTTCAAAGTGAACACTATTAATTCAAGCCAATCAATAATACAGCATAAGCCTCCAGATACACTACCAATGAGAAGAAATTTATGCATTACTTTTATTCCCACTGAAATTCATATCCAAAGGTTTGGGATTGATTATAGCAAGAAAAATTGTTCTTTTATCAAAGTATTATTTATTAGTCAAACATTTCCCAAGCAATAACATGTTATGACTCTTTAATTTGTTGAGTAGAAAACTGAGTAGTGACATTTCTTGAAAACTTGCTACAATCCCACAGGAAAGAATTGACATCATTACAATGTGTTTTCCTTAACTTGACAGGAAGTCAACTTCAAGCAGATTGACTTGAACTGGGATCTCATTTAGGAAGCGTAAGTATCCAATAAACTGTTATTTTTTTTTTTTACTTGCAAAATACTCAAGTTCCAGTGGCTTACCATCCTGTACTTTACTTTCTGAAAAGTTGGCATTCCCACGTGGACTTCTGGTAGAATGAGCAATGCAAAGAGCTGGCTTGGACTTGGCTTGTCCCTGTACTTCTGGGGATTGATGGACCTTACGACCACCGTTCTCTCGAGCACACCAACACCACCAGGCAAATTAAAAGCGCTCCTGTCAGACAAGCCACAGTTACACTCAAGGACAAAGAGGAGCTGGGTTTGGAACCAGTTTTTTGTTCTGGAAGAGTACACTGGAACTGACCCTTTGTATGTCGGGAAGGTAAGAACTGCCAAAGAGAAAGATAAATGATCAGGATATTGAATGCTGAAATTGAGTATGAATTGAATATGAAGGCTCACCTAGCCTGTGTCTGAAGCCTAGGAACAATTTTAATGAGTGGTATGTTGCTTGACAGTTAGCTGAATTTAATTTTTACTTTGTCAGATAACCAGTCAGGAAGGAAAAGATTTCTCTCCTTGTCTCCTTGTTCATGCAACTGTTCTGAGTGGAGAAGGGGGGTGTGAGTCGGATTTGGAAGGCAATCCTGGGCCCCTGCAAGAGCCATTCAGGTCCCAAAAGAAGAAGCAACAGTCTTGGGAATGACAGGATAGGGAAGAAAGAAACTAGGGAATGCAAAGGGGGAAGCATTTTTTTTTGTTTGCTTTGTTTTGCTTTGCTTTTTTCTTCAAAGCATTTCCACAGGTATAGCCTAAGGCCCAAATTTAAGAAGGAAGGAAGAGAATACAACATTCTTCATTTCAGAAAATCTTAGCATGTGCTCTATCCTAAAGGATAGCTGGAGACAATCAATGAATAGATTCACAAACTTTATACTCAAATTCCCTTGATATATCTATCATTTTATTTTTAATCCAAGCTTTCTCCTATGTTTACATTATTTGGTTGTTAATCAGAGACTGTGTTATGAAAGCAACCAAGTTTAGAGAAAATGGGAAACAAGGAACTAATTAAAAAATAAATAATTCATTTAAATAATAAACACTTGTTTAGCACAAACGCTAAGAATATGGGTTTCAGAGACACATGTGGGTTCCAGACCTGCTCTGACAAGGGCTTCCAGAGTGACTTTGGACAGGTTCACTAAGCCCCATTAGCCTTTGTTTCTTCAAATGTCTAATGGGGATAATAAGAGAACTACAACTTTTCAAGAGCTGTCTATAAAAACGCTTTCCTCCCACCCACTTTTTAAAAAATATATATTTTTATTGATTTCAGAGAGGAAGGGAAAGGGGGAGATAGAAACATCAATGATGAGAGGAATCATTAATTAGCTCCCTCCTGCATGCCCTCCTCCCACTGGGGATTAAGCCCACAACCCGGGCATATGCTGACCTGGAATCAAACTATGACCACCTCGTTCATGGGTTGATGCTCAACCACTGAGCAACACTGGCTGGGCTCTCCCACTCACTTCTTAAACCAATTACCTGACTTCTAACCCCACCACTGCACTAAAGCTGTTTCCCATGCTTCTAAGGGCCTCCCCACTACCAAAGCCAATGGTTTCATTTTATTGAATGACACTGCTGGCCAGCTCCTCCTCATTGACTCATGATCCTTTCTGGCTTCACAACCTTCACAATCCTCTCAACTTCTTTGCTGGTCCTCTCCCTGACCCCAATTATTGGAGGTCTCATAAGCTCTGCCCTGGGCCTCTTTGCTACCCAAACTCATTCACTGGGAGGATTCACCACCTTGTGATTTTTCTTTAAATTCTATATTGTTTAAAATATTAAGTATGTCTCCTTTTTCCCACATTGGCCTCTCCCCGGCCACTTCCACCCCTAGTACATGACCTCACCCCCTATTGTGTGTGTCTATTGGTTATGCTTATATGAATGCATGTAAGTCCTTTGGTTGATCTCTTACCCCTCTCTGCCTTCCCTCTGAGGTTTGATGGTCAACTCAATGCTTCTCTGTCTCTAGATCTATTTTTGTTCATAAGTTTATGTTGTTCTTTATATTCCACAAATGAGTGAGATCACGTGATATTTATTTTTCTCCAACTGGCTTATTTCACTTAGCATAATGGTCTCCAGGCCCATCCATGCCGTTGCGAATTGAAAGAATTCTTTCTTTTGTAAAGTAGCATAGTATTCCATTGTGTAGATGTATCACCATTTTCTAATCCACTCATCTGCTGATGGGCACTTAGGCTGTTTCCAAAATCTTAGCTATTGTAAATTGTGCTGCTAGGAATATAGGGGTACATATATCCTTTCTGATTGGTGTTTCTGATTTCTTGGGTTATATTCCTAGAAGTGGGATTAGTGGGTCAAATAGGAGTTCCATTTTTAATTTTTTGAGGAAACTCCATACTGTCTTCCACAGTGGCTGCACCAGTATGCATTCCCACCAGCAGTGCAAGAGGGTTCCTTTTTCCTCACATCCTTGCCAGCACTTGTTGTTTGTTGATTTGTTGATGATAGCCATCTGACCGGTGTGAGATGGTACCTCATTATCATTTTGATTTGTATCTCTTAGAGGATTAGTGACTTTGAGCATGTTTTCATATGTCTCTTGGCCTACTGTATATCCACTTTCAAAAAGTGTCTATTTAGGTCCATTGCCCATTTTTTGATTGGATTGTTTATCTTCCTTTTGTTAAATTGTATGAGTTCCCTACAAATTTTGGAGATTAAACTCTTATCGGATAAAACACTGGCAAATGTGTTCTCCCATGCAGTGAGTTCTCTTGTGTTGTTGATGGTATCTTTTGCTGTGCAGTAGCTTTTTATTTTGATGTAGTCCCATTTGTTTGTTTTCTCCTTAGTTTCCATTATCCTAGCAGCTGTATTGGTAAAGATATTGCTAAGACATATGTCTGATATTTCCCTGCCTATAGTTTTTAAATGTCTAATGCTTTTTAGCCTGAGTTCCAAGTTAGGTGAAACAGAAAAGAGTAATTTCTCCAACTTCGTTCTTTCTCAAGATTGCTGTGGCTATTCGGAGTCCTTTTTTATTCAAAACTAGAGGCCCGGTGCATGAGAATTCATGCACTAGAGGGGGGGAGGGCCCTTCAGCCCGGCCTGCCCCCTCACATTCCAGGAGCCCTCAGGGGTAAGAGCTGACCCAGCCATCAGGGGAAAGTGATGCCCCCATCACATCTCTGCTGCTGTCACTACTGGCAGTGCAGGCCTCAGCCGGCCCTGGTTACCTGGGCCTCGGGCTAGCCTTGGGCAGCTGGGGGGACTGGAGGACTCCGGAGGCAGGTGGGCCCAGCTTTGCCATGTGCCTGCCAACACAGCAGGGCTGAGGGGACTGGGTGCCGCCATCTTGTGGCTGTGGGTGCCACCATCTTTGCGACAGTGTGAGGGTCAATTAGCATATTCCCTCTTTATTAGATAGGATGAATTTTTGGAGAGTTTGTCTAAGTCTGTGAAATATGCCTTTGGTATCTTAATGGGGGTTGCATTGAATCAATAGATCGCTTTGTATAGTATGGACATTTAATTGTGTTGCTTCCACCAATCCATGAACACGGTATATTCTTCCATTTGTTTATGTCTTCCTCTATCTCTTCTTTTAATGTCCTGTAGTTTTCCAAGTATAGGTCTTTTACCTCCTTAGTTAAGTATATTCCTAGGTATCTTAATATTTTTTTAGTGTAATGGTAAGTGGGATTATTTTTGTTTCTCTTTCTGAGTTCATTATCTATACTAATAAAAGGGTAATATGCTAATTAGACTGCACCGGAGGTCTTCCTGACGACCTTCCAGGCGTCCTTTCTGACAAAGCCTGGCTGGGCGAAGCCGCCTGCAATCCTGGGCACCTGCAGCTGTGGCCAGCTCAGGCGAAGCTGCCTGCAGTTGTTTACCGGTGTTCTGTATGTGGGTGTTATTTTTAAAGGGAATGTAGTGCTGGCTGTGCAGAAGCCGCTGCTCTAACTGGGGGATGCAGCAGGGCTCAAACCATGGCTTCCTGAGGGCGCTGTTTGCTGGACATCAAGGCTGTCCCCACTGCGGGCTTCTGGCTCAGTCCGAAGCTTGGGCCAGGAAGCTGGATAGTGAGTTTCATGCTCTGTCCAAGCCTTAGCATAGATTACAAATTCCCACCAGGGATCATTGTCTTCTCTAAGTTTGGGCTCCGCTTCCTCATTCACATTCCAGGAACAAAGCCACCTGTTTCTCTTCAACCTGGAAGCTATGCCAGACGCGACTGTGCAGCCACTGGTTCTGGAGGAGATTTCACATGCCCACATACTCACTAGCACACAACGCCCTGGCCGCAGGTGGACTCTCATCACCCTGCATGGTTTGTGTCCTCTCTCTCTTGCTCTGAATGTCCCCAGTCCCTATGTGCCATCCGTCTCTCGGGCTTACAGTTCTGTCTTTGTACAAATGCGCTTCTGTTACTTCATGTTATCTTCAGAGGCAGAATGCTGGAAAGGCGGCACCCGACTGCTTTCTGGGGTTGTTCCTCTGTGTGAGGCTCCACTCCTCTCATTGTGGGCCTGTCCACTGAAAAGCTCTGAGGTTTGCATTTGGTTTATAGCCTGGTGGTGTGGACCCTGATGCAAAACAACTGTCAGCTTCAAGTGCCTATGCGGTGAGGGTGGGCGTAGGGGGAGCTATATTACCTACCTGGAATCTGTTGTTCAGCTTTGAGGATAACAGGGAGTCCTGGGCTTTGCACCATGATACCACATAAAATCCAAAGAACTCTCAGTGGCTTCGTTTCCAATTCTTTAACACACTGTAAAATAAATCCACTTTTTTTCTTCTCTAAATCTAAACAATCTTCTGTCATTAAAGTGAAGACATAGAAAGAATGTGTTGACATTAGATTTTCACTAAAAGCATGTTGTGTCCATTTTCAGAATGCATATCCCAAGGGCGTTCCAAAAAAATGAAAGAGTTCAAGGTTCAGTTCAAGGTTGACTCTCTTGGTAAGGAATGGGGGTGAGGGGTATAATACAGGCGTTTCTCTCCAAGGGTTTATAGTCTTAGTTGGAGGGAATAAGACATACAGTATTAAAAAGTTCAGTATTTCAAGAGTTAAAAACAGTACAAGACAAATACAAGAGGTCATATAGTATTAGGCAAGTTTCAAATGAATGGAGGCTCAAAAGT